AAGATTTTTTTCAGGCACATGTTGCCAAATCCCTTTGTGGGAAAAGGCTTTTACTGTCTGCAATGCAGACATACTGCATACATGAACACTTGCAGAATTGCACATCTGATGAAGGCTAGCTGTTCTCCATGTTCAGTTTCTAATAATTAGAAGACGCTACCAAAATATGGCTCTCAATTGAAACTTAATTTAGCAAGATCTGGTTATGTGTGTGTGTTAACATGAATTGTCAAGACCTAGGGAAGGCTCCTTACCTCTGTCATTACACCCACCCAATAATCCCTGCTACCCAGCTAGAGAGCATCAGTTAGAGCCAAGCACAATGTTCCCAGGCACTGTGTAAGCTTTTCATGGGCAATTCCCCTATTCCTCATTTTTGACCTTCAGACTCCTGCCATTCTTGTGCAGGACACCTGTGCAGGAGAGGCTGCTAACTGCGATGTATCATAATTCCCACCGTAATAGGGGCACATGATCACAAGGGATCATGGTTTATTTTTTATTTTTTTTTAATTTCTTGGGATACATTTATTCTTGCCAAGTCATTCAGGTCACCCATCTGTATTATGTTCACAGAGGAATCAAATGCTAAGCTTCTTTCACCTTATGCAGCTATATGGATGGTATGTTGTTTTAATGATCTATCATATTTATACAAAAGTCTCTCTGCACATCCACTTTCAATTTATATAGTCAGGATAGTCTTTTAATGCATCATAACATAATAAAAAAATGCATGTGCAGAATTTTTTTAAACATATACACTATAAAATTATGTTGCTAAGATTTATTAGGAACCTCTTGTTTCATCCTGTCCATGATTTCTTAGGCTTGATTTGGAAATCATACTTTTGTTACTCAGTACTAATTAGATATATCAGAATAACAAGAGTTATCACATTGTTCATTTCATAACTGATCAGAAAGGAAATTCTTTCTAGAGTGTCCACTCCCCTGTGATAGAATAACCTGCATAAAGCAAATGTGCTTTTAGTGTCTGTTTTCTAATGTTGTTTTTGATGCAGACCAGTTTATTTTTCACATGAAAAAAGATGAAGCTGCTGAAGTTAATAGAATATTATGTCTAGATACATGCTGACGAAGTGAGATCATAGTTTGGTAGGTTCACGGAGTAAAGTAGATAAGGGGAAGTGCTTTACAGTTGCTTAGTAGGCATAGCAACTTGGAAAGTTAGTATTTAGGAACACTCATTATTCTGGGCACATTTATAATCTTCCCAACTTTTTGAGTTGCTTCGGGAATACTGAATTTCCTGATAAAGCAGTGATGTGTATCTCCCAGTCCTTAACTGGAAAGATGCACTAGGAATGGGAAACGTGATGATCGTTCATCTGTGTATTCCTCCTTTTAAGGAGTACCGTAGAGGGAAGGTCTAAGTGCAAAAATTGATTCTGTCCTGTTGGCAGGCTCTCAGTTACAGTACTCCAGTGGATGAAAAGACCAAAGGTCTCCCATTTTAGAAAAATGTGCACCAGGGGAGGACAGAGAGCTTTCCTAGCTTGGAAAATATTGTCCATTAGACTGAGCTCTGACTGGTGTGAAAATTGGGGCTATGGCCACAAAGAGGGATTGAACTAAAGAGGAGTCTCAGAGAACATTCAAGAAAGTTTCAAATGCAAATTTTCTCATTTGTCTGGGGATCTGTATGCCTTTGGGGATTTCTTAAAATAAGGTGTGATTCATTCTGGTAACCTCTACCATATGCAAGTCGTAGATTGATACTTGACAGCTGTACCACCTTTAGTGCTAAACTAGCTCTCTGCTTTTGTTCTTGATGGACATGCAGCTTTAGCTTCTAGTTTTATGTGCTTCCACCGTGTGTGCACATGTCGCTGTGGTAAGGTTGGTTTCTTGTATTCGGGGTTTTTTTGGTGCGTTTTGTTTTTTTTACCTAAATTTCAATGGTTTCATTTCATGTGTTGCTGTAGTCTCATTGTTAGAGAATATAAATGTACAATTCAGTCTCCTGAGTTGCTTATGTTAGTGTTAAATGAACCAGATAAACTGTGACAAGCTCAATGTTTGAAATTCAAACCCAGAACGTGGAGAATGTGTTTAAATGCTGAGGAGGAAAGCAAACAAATGCAATTAAATACCTACAAAACATATACAGAACTAATAATATATAAATGTATCATAAGCATAATATAAAATGGCACTTCTTCTGAAGGGTTAATCTGTAAACCATATGTGGAGCTCAGGAACTGTGTCTGAGCAAGTGGGCTGGTGTGGAAGAGCAGTGCTCCCCTGGGTGATCCGCGAGGCCACGGCTGTGGGCGCCAGGCAGCCCCCAGTGCCAGGTCTCCAGTCTGTCTCAGCATATGGGTCTGACTGCGTGTCCCAGCCCAGCTGGCTGGTGGACAGATAGCCACAGGAGAGAGAAACTGTGGTCAGAACCTGACCAGAGTGTGGGAAAGGAGGCAGTCATGGCATCACAGGTTGTTTAGGTGTTGTTTGAAACAGCAAACAAATATAAAAACCAACAATAGAAATAAGCAGAGAAGGGACAGAAATTCTCAAGCCCAAATTTTTTGTCTGATATGCACGCACTCAACTTCTGAGTGGATCCCAGTATTTCTAATTTAATGGGCTTCTGCTTATTGCTTTGCTGGAGGCTTTTTTTTTTTTTGATTAACAGAACAAAAGGTTAATCATATAAATTCCCCATCTCGTGTCATGCTGAAGCAAGAGGGAATAGGTATCTCCTTGTTCTCGCTGCTTAGCTGCTATTCAGGCTTGCTGTGTGCAGTACAAACACGGAGCTCTCCCCGCAGGCCCCCATGACATACTTTTCACACTGTGTTCTTGGTGGAAGATGAACACTCCTCACATTTATGATTCCGCTTGTCTTTCTGGAAGGATGGGGATCGAGCAATGGCTACGTGAGCTGTGCAGGAGATCCTCATCTTTGGCTCTGCAGGGAGCTGCAGCAGATGCGCAAACCCCTGCCCCATTAAGAAGGAGCTGTAATTGCACCTACCTCGTGTGTTTGTGATTAAAACACCGAGCAGTGCAGTCACTAATGAAATCATGGCAAACTTGGAAGCAGATGGATCAAGGTTTTCCTTAATATCTTTTTTAATTCGTTGTATAAATCTACCTGGTAATTATGAGTTAGCAACTGTAATTCTCTTGGACAGGCTATTAGTTATGATTTCTTTATCTCTTTGTTGTAAAGAGTGGTTCATACTTGAAGCAACAAAATTTCATCTCCTCAAATGACCTACATTTATGGTTACACCTGCAATAAAGAAATAATTGCAACTTTGAATAGAGGATAAAACATCAAAGTCTAATTCTCCACCACTGGTTTTCATTCTGGGAATCTGCAGTGCCCTTTGCTTAGGATAGAGGCGCAGCAGGACGCCTGGTGGCAGCAGGCTGGGGCCCAGCCCTGTGCTGCCATGCAGTGTCTGCCTTCAGCGGGGCCAGGCAGCAATCTGCCTGTTATGTGAGCTTTGCCGTGCTGAAAAGAAAATCGTTTGCTTGAGATTGGGCTGAAAAGCTCTTTAAAACGTTTGTTTTGGCAAAGCGAAAAAAGTTGTACTAGAATAAAACATTTGATCCGATACAACTTTTTTGTCAACTTTCCAGGAATTTATTTCTATAGAAATAAATTCTGACTTGTTGCTCAGCTAGGCATCATTTCAGGTTCATACTTGGTTATTTTTCTTCATTTGTAAGAATATACGTATGGATCAGTCCCATTCTTGTGGATCCGTGCGTTCCGAGGCGATGTGTCCGATGGTGCCTCCAGAGCTACAAACTGCAGCTCTGCAGGAACTGCTTTGCCCTGACATGGAAGCTCGCAGCAGCTGGCAGTTGCTGCTCCTGTCCACACCTCAGTGCTGGCATGTGGCACTTACCTCACATGGGTCTGACACTGCAGGAGGGAGCACTGATGGTGCCCATCATTGTAATGCTGGTGTTCTCTGCCAGCTGACAGCGCGTCCCCTCAAACACCACTGCAGCACATAACTGAAAATACTGAGTTGTGGGTGGGGGAAGTGAGCGAGCGAGCAGGATGGAGCACACAGAAGTGAACGGAAACAGCACGGTGGCCTTTTCAGCCCTCCGCCTCTACTCTGCATCGGGAAGATGCCAGGGGGATAATATGATGGAAGTATGGAGATGTATTCAGGTAGCTTCTGTTTATACAAAGTGAAGATGCACATAAATCCACAGCTGAGTGATTCAGACCTGTCAAGTCTCATGCATTATGCACAGGAGTTATTCAATTAGCCCCTGCCGCTGTGCCTATAGCTCACGCTGTTGTGAAGGCACTGCAGCAGCCCTTCTCCCACTCCAGAATCCTCAGCGCCGGCCGTGGCCGCGGGGCCGGGTGCGGTGCGGGGCCGGGATGCCCGCAGTGCTGGGCGCGGCTCCTCGCGCTCGGTCGGAGGATCGGCCGAGGCGGGTTTGTCGGTGAAGCGTAACCCGCAGAATTAAGACAGAAACGATAAGATGTGTCGGTACGTTGTAATAAACGTGAGATAATTGCACGCTATTAGTATACGCACAGCTAACGGTAATTTACCATCAGTGAAGGCATTACCACACGCGATATAACGCGGGGCAGCACCGACTCTCCGAGAGCGGCTCCGCCTGCGGCGCTCAGCGTCCCGGCGCCTGCCGGGGTTCGAACCGATTCGGTAGCCGATAAAGAAATGAACGGAACGGGTTGATGGGAGTCATCGGGCTTTTCTTTTGTGTTTTGATTTTTGTTGTCGTTGCCCGTTGTGTTTTGTTTTTGTTTGGTTGTTTGTTTTTTTTTTTTTAGCACACGTTCCTCCGGGACGAGCCGCCGTAGCGTTTTCCAAAAAGCCGTTTAATCGAAATCAGCTGTATTTCCCCTCTCCCCCCCCCCCCCCCCCCCCCCCCCCCCCCCCCCCCCCCCCCCCCCCCCCCCCCCCCCATCTCCCCCCCATCTCCCCGTCCGCGTGCAGCGGCCTCACTGCTCCGCTTTGTGTCTCCGGCAGCGATGCACCTCCTGGGGCTGAACTGGCAGCTGCAGCCCGCGGACGGACACACCTTCAGCAACGGGCTGCGGCCGGGCGCGGCGGGCGCGGAGGACGGAGCGGCGGCGCCACCTGCAGGCAGAGGTGAGCTGCGGGGCCTCGGCCTGCGGGCGGCCCTCGGCGCGCGCCCGGCCGCGAGCGCATGGCGAGCCCCGGCCCGTGCTGCTCTGGAGCGTTGCACGCCGCACGTTGCTGCTATTGCTTTGCTTGAAGGAAAACCGCGTGCCGTAGAGGATGAAGAGCGAGGGCAGCGAGGAGGAAATGTCTGGAACCAGAAACGCTTTCTTAGACTACGAAGCATACGTTAAAAAAAGAGAGGGAAATTATCACAAAGAGGCTTTTAAACATTTCAGTTGAATGCTTTCTAATGATGATGAGGTTCAGGTGTTTGCTGCATAGCACTGCGGCTTTCCCTGGCTCCCAGAAGAGCCGCAGTAAGGCAGAACATGGCCGTCCAGCTCCAGGTGCCCACGGAGTGCTATGCAGCAGGGTGAGAGCGCTCCGTGCGGGTCTGCAGCACAGCTTTGTTTAGAGCTGAGCATCGCTTTGCTCAGAACACACAGCCCACGCCAGCCTGCTGCTCCCCGAAACAAGCCTTAAGCTAACAAATGCTAATGCGGGACACGTGCATGGGATGGATGGACGAATCTCAGCCAAAGTGGTGTTGGGAGCAAAGCTGAGTTCAGTTCTTTGGCATGCCCGGTCCTTTTACAAATTGCAGATCTGCTGCACCTCTGCTTCTTTATGTTTTCTGTGGAGGCACCAGCTTTGGCTTCCTCCTTTTGTTGGAATGCAGCGTCCTTGTTGTGGCAAGACAACTGTAGGTTTTCAGACAGCAGCTTGTTGGCTTGGCTTCCGTCTCCTACTGTAGGTCACGCAGTGGATGAACAGCACATCCCTAAGTACCTGGCAGAATGTTTGTATTGCTGCTGAACTCTTTCCAGATTGCACACAGGTGAGAGACCCTATGGTTTGAGGCAGGAACCTGAAGAGCCTAGGACCTCAATTATGGTCACTTAGCAGACAACTGCAGTGTTTAACACATTTCCAAATTCCCTCCCCTGCAGCTTTTTGTTGCCATCTCTGTGCAAATGTAGGGCAGCAGAATTGTTGAATTTGAATGTTCTCGTCTGCCTGGGGCACTGCAGTGCCAATTCTGGCAGTGCATCCCAACCCTACTCTAATTAGCATTGCACATTTCAAGAGACAGAGATGCCGCTGTTGGGGATTGGTAGCCTCCTGTGGAGGAGACAGGAGGCAGCGCTGCTAGTTATGTCTTAAATTGCTGCAGTTGGGCTTCCTCAGAGTGTGTTGGAAAAGTTTTCTTCTGACATTTTGTAGAAGGTTCCTGAAACGTTGATAATTTTGTAGGAGGAAGGAGAAAATATTTAGGTAAGTAATCTTCCACAGAGGAGTAATGGGAATGACAGGCTTGGGTGAGCACAAGGAATATCTGAAACAGACATTCTTGTAGCAGGGAAGAGCAAAAAGTTTTTCTACCTCACCATTCATTCTATTATGTTCAAGTTAATATTGCTACCCCAGCAGTTTTTAGGAAAGCCTCTGACAGCTTTTAACACAACAACCATTTTCAGGACTCTGGCTGTGGAGAGTGACCTTTTTATAATTGACACAGCTCAGGATGAAGCCATTCTTTTCAAAACATGGCTCTCCCAAAGAAACCTTTAACCCCTAGTCTGAAAACAGCCACTTAAACACAAGCTGTGCCTACTCAGCAAGTAAGGCATTTTAAAGAAGAGCAATTCAGACGGGGAAAAAGAGGCAGATATTTCAATTTGATCTGCTTGTTCCTTATTAAGAGACTGAATTTAGGTAAGAAATAATAAAAATGCAATTTAAGGGAAACGTGAATTACGTTATTACCACATTTTCTTATCAGAATGAAAACAAAATTCACTATTAAGAAAACACAATTGCACATTTTTTTGTAATTGCACGCCACGTCTCGCTGATGCTGGGGTTGTGTGAAAGGAACAGGCAGAAAAGTCCTCAGTGCTGCTGTAAAACCGCAGGGGAAGTCCACCATGCTCTGACTGCAGGAAAGCAAAGGATGACTTCCTTTGCCTTTAGGCTCTCATAGCTGTGCTGAACTCGAGATTTAGATTAATCGACAAATTAAGGAGATTTTACCTTCTTAACAAGTGGTAAGGCAGTACTCCTTCATAGGGCATTAAAAAACAAGCTGGTGCTGCCTTGGAGTCGTGGAATTGCTACAGAAATGGGATAGATTTTATAAAAAAAAATCTAAGTGAAGCCTGTTGGTCTATTACTGTTACAGAAGGATAATGTTAGAGTTTTGGTGTAATCAATCTAGAAGAGGAAAAAAGGGAAAAAAAGAGTGTTTGGGAACAATCATTTCTTCACCAACAGGTGAACTAAGCGACCTTACAGTGCTTTCGTTTGCCTGGATTCTGTTAGTCTGTGCTATGAGTATATTCTAAATTTAAAATTATATAGCAGGCTGGACACATTTCCTGACAGTATGTGCAGTTTCCTTTCTAATTGACAGAATGTACTATAAAAGTCAACTTTAATCATTTCAGAGTGCACCTAAGATAAGTGTAATTCATGTGGAACTATCATAAGTAGCTCCAGCTGCAATTCCAACTGCAGTACACTTTAGAGATTTTTTTTCTGTTGTTTGATATATTGTCTGTGGTGTTCTCACAAACTCATCAGATTTTATGCTACTTTAAAAACAAAAATCAACAATTTCTTTAGTATTTTTGACTATGTGATTTACTAAATTAAGGCTCCATAAAGCTGGAAAACAAAGTACGAGATTGACCCTAGAAATGAGCATTTTAGAAGATACCAAAGGCAATTATAGGCAAGGAAAGATCAGTTTGGTTACTATATATGCGTTCACTAATTGGAAAAAGCAGGTTTGAATGTATGTTCTGATAGTCAAACATTCCTGGCTTTGGGTTTCTTTGAACCAACCAGCTTCATCCAGGTTCATCTCAGTTAGTGAGTCACTTTAGTAAGTAAGATTTCAACAATACAGTTACCTCCAATGAGGAATACTTATTTCCAGTTATCACGTTCAGTACCTACAATGGCAACAACAAAATGAAGAAATGAAAGTCTTCTGTTAAATTTTATACTGTCTTCTGGTCTGAACTTACTTCCTTGAGATGGATGCCTAAAACCTATCGGATCTAGGGAGACAAAAAATGGAATTCTACTCATTTAGCAGAAATTTGCTTTGCACTGGTATGGAAAACTGAAGTCTGCAGTCATTGTGAAGCTGTGTAGCTTGTCTTCATCTCTCTCCATATTATGCTGAGAAAGAGTTGAAAGGTTTGCATACAGCAGTGCTTTTTCAACATTTAAAATATTATCAGAGCAGCAGACGGGCAGCATTAAAGAAATTATAAATACTCTAGATTGGAAGAATCTTTACATATTGCTTGGGGTTCAGATGAAATAAGTTGGTCCCTGTCCTGAGTGCTGGGAACAGTGACTCTGAAAATGCTACAGTCATCAGAAAGTATCAGGACTGGGGGCCACGTGGAGGAACTTCATTGTCATGTTGCAGAAAATTAAAAGATTTTAAAAAAAAAAAAAAAAAAAAGACCTCAAAGCTCATTAACAGTGTAAACTGCATGCATCTTTTGGTTCCAACTGCTTCCTTTTAGAGGCTTTGAACAGATGATCAAAACGTAATAACAATCAATGTATTTTAAATGTCACTTCCGTTATCTTCATTCAGTTTAATCAAGACATGCCGTCGTTTTCCAGGTGGATTAATCTTACTAAATATTTATGTGGCTAATGTAACTTAGATCTTAATTGACTTGTTAGTGAGCAGGAATAGTAATGTGGACCCTATGAAGGGTGGCAGATGTGGTCTTCTGAAAATACACCGGTCTCCAGGGCTGCTAAAATTTAAGCAAAGTGTGTGACTAAGGTCAGCAGAGCAGAAGAGGAATTCTTTCTACTTGCTGTGATTGTGTTGATGATGATGGTTTGAGTTGCTGTGTTCAGAGTTACTTGGTGAGCTGTAGTATACACCGTCAGAGATGACTATTGCAGTGATGCAGGAATCCATGCTAATATGTCCTTTGCTTAACGCTGGGAACTAACAGCTCTTCGTTTCATTTCAGTTATAATTTGCTTTTGATTCTGAAAACAACAAATCTTGTGAAGCTGTGCCCATGGGAATGTGAAAATGTGCCTACGTTTCTGGGTGTATCAGAGTAGCAGAGAGACGTTTCTTAATTCCACCCGCAGGGCCAGATTGCTTGGCTGCAGCTGAGGCAGAGCAGTGGTCTTAAGCAGATGGTTCCTTTGCAGAATTTCTTTCAGCACAATAGAAATATGCTATCCTGGCCAACAATCCTGATGCTGATTTTGTTTCAGATGCTGTTTTGCTGGACTCCTGGAAGCTCATACAAATTCAGGAGCTTCCTTCCTTCCTCTTCACTAAATAGAGCTCGTTATTACCTCAGCATCTTCAGCATAACCGTAGTTCAAGAAGTGTCATAGCAGCTTCTGCAGACAACCCTCATTTCCTGGCTTCTTACATTACTGTAGTTCTGGGAATTTGTTTTGCACCGGCGGTCGATCTGTTTTACCTGTTTTTCACTTGGGTCCTAGGAATTAGCAGTAGGTATTTTGAAGTGTAAGCGCACGGAGGAATTAATAAGTGAGACAGTAATGCATAATACTGATTGATTTATTTTTTTCAATTCTGAAATAATAAGAAATGCCTGGTTATATGAGTAACAAACTTACGTGGAGAAAAATGTCCATCATTAAAAATGTTATTAATTATCATCATTTGTTTTTTGGCGGAAAATCGGTGGAATACATTTTTGAATGCTTACATGTATTTATTTTCTTTATTGAGTGTTTACACAGTGATACCGTACAGCTCATTGGAATTCTGAGTCAACTGTAAAAATCTCTAGTGATACGAAAACAGAAAAATGAGTTAGATTTAAAGATAGGGAAAGCTATATCTGCAGTGAAGAAGTGGAGAGGTACCGGGATAGAAGCGAAGGAGAAAGCTCTTCAACCATCGTGGTGACGTTTATTCCTTGTAATTAATTTGAGATTATCCAGATTGTTCTGGTAGTTTGTTATGGATGTATAGGAACGGATATTTTGCCAGATAACATATTATCAAGACACGTTTTACAGCCATCTCTGTTAGAAAGGCACACAATCAAAGGACTGAAGTAATTGCCATTTGAACGTGATGTCTGTAGCAGGACACTGGCAGTAGCCAGATGTAATTTTTATTGTTTTAAATTTTGACTCTGATGTGGCAGAGCAGCCTATAAACCCCAAGTTTTCTCGTCTCGGTGTGGGTGCAGTTCTGCTGCATCGCTGACACTGCTTGACGTAATTTAAATTAAAGGCTGAATGGGCATGTGGTATCAGCTGCCACCTTGAGACTGACCTCCAGCTCGAAGATGAGGCCAACTGACAAGTGGGGGAGTTTGCCTTGCTGTTGTCATGTATCTCCTGTCTGATAGCTTCAAAGGCAAACATGCTTGAGCGCTAAAACAGTCTTTTCAGATGTATATGCCAAAATAGTAATTCGACTGGGTAAATAACACAGCAGTTTAAATGAATAAGTGTTATTTAGTTGATAAATATATGTTTGACTGAGAGATTGAAATGACTCCCCTGGGTACGGAGAAGAAGTACGCTTTTAAAACTCTCTTTTTGCAGATGTTTATAGAGAGGAAATCACAGGGGGAAAAATCAAGTATCCACAGAGTTAAGGAATAAACAAAACTCTAAGACAGCCACCCACAGCAGAGAGAATGATTTGGGGGTTTATTTGCTCACGGTAATATGAGTTCTTTGCTTTGGTCTTTCTTCTCAGCTTTGTCAGTCTGTCACATCTGTAACTTCACTTAACTGCAGTTTATGTTCTTTGAATGTGATCTGCAGTGGTCCATCAAAATGGAAAAGCTTCTAAAAATAGCTGGAGGGAGTGAATCAGGTGGAAAGATGCATGCTCTGCATTAGGAGGTGAAGACTGAAGGAAGCTATAAAAGAGGTTTACTTTAAGAGTCCCTAGAGACAGAGTTTTTAAGTGAAGCTGTTAGCGCAACAAAGCTCTTGTAAATGTAAAGCTAGGATGATGGTGTTCTGCTTCTTAAGTTTTAAAGAAGTAAACTGAAGTCACTTGGCTAAGAAGTTGTTCAGTGGCCATGCATACTTGGCGTTTCAGTCCGTTATTTCTGATTTGTGATGTAAGGAGCATCATGCAGCCAACGCGAGACCCTTCCTGTGCTGTTTTTTATGTGACTGAATTACTGTTAGAAGTGAGAATTTTTAATAAAGCAAGAAGTCTTTAATTCTTGCTTTATTTTAATTCTTGCTTTATTTTAATTCTTGCTTTATTTTAATTCTTGCTTTATTTTAATTCTTGCCTTATTTTAATAAATCTTGCTTTATTTTAATTCTCTTCTTGCTTTAGTAAAGCAAGAAGTCCTGCCAAGATGCTTGTGTCCGTTTTGTGTTTTGTAACAATGGGAGAATAATTCAGCAGGAATTTATGAAAATATATTCAATAATGCATAGTCACTAGAGCTCTGCTTGCTTGCTGGACTTAAACCTTCCCAAGAAATTAGTTGAAAATATTTTGACATGACTCCAAACATTTGTAAGTCTTGCAACTTCAGCATTGTAACCTAGAGCCATAAAACCAGGAATTCTTGCATTAAATTCTGAAAATTAAAAATAAGGGTCTCTTCCAGCATGCCAGACAGAAGGCAGCAGCTAAATTTCACATGCTCATGGCATGGGCTGGATGCAGAGCAGAGATGTGCATTACTCCAAAAATGAAGACTTGAAACTAAGGAGTCATCCTTCCATTCCGTTCTTTGTTCTTTTTTTTGAGGGGTGAAGTGTATCTTCATCATGTGTCTATCACTTGATAAATGCTCACGTAACTCACTTTTAAAATCCTCTACTGAGTTGAACTCTTCCAGCTGTCACAGTCCTTAGGAATTGCTAAATGGAGTTTCTTGAAACACTGAAATATTCTGGAAAGAGTGGTTTGGACAAATAGAAAGTAGGTCAGCTATGCAGTAGAGGGAGAAAATAACATCTATGGGGGGGTGCTTCTGAAAATAATGCCTAGCCAAACTGAATAATTGCAGTAGTCTTAGGAGCCTCAGTCGTGTCTTTAGGCTGATTATTCTTTATTAGTTTGCTGGTCTTAACTGCCATTTTAAGCAATTTTTACACTAAAGCTTAATTATTTTCATGAGAAAAATAAATTGCCATTTTGACATTCAATTTTTTTTTTCTTTTCTTTTTCTTTTTTTTTTTTTTTTTTTGTAAATTTGACATTCAGTATATTGTCACCTGTGAGGTGTGCACCAAAGTAGTGTGAATGTAACTCTGGTTCTCTTGATGACTAGAATATTCTCTTCT